CCCGAGGTGGCCGGGTCCTGGCAGCGCCTGCTTCTGAGCATTTGGTGGAAAGGCGGAAACAGAAGGAGGAGCAGACGACACGCAAGCGGGAGTCAGCCCACCCTCTGCGACGGGGGCGCGGGAGAGGAGCGCCGCGTCTAGCGGGGTGGAGGCCAGCAGGCGGGGAGTCTGGCCTCTACGGTCCGATCCCGAGTCAGCGAGCGCTCACCCCGGGCCCTCCTTAGGTGCCATCGGTTTTCCTTGGCGCTTCCAGGTGAAAGGCGGGTCTGCACTTTCCCATTTGGTTCAGTCATTGCATTTGGGGCTGATTCCAAGTCAGCTCTCTGAACTCCGGAGTCTGCTTTTCTGGGTTCACGCAGCCTCGACCTCCTGGGCGCAGCCCACACTTTTGCCTCAGCCTGCTGCGTAGCTGGGACTACAGGTGTGTGCCACCACGTCCGGCTAATCTGGGGGGATTTTTTTGTAGAGACGGGATCTCATTGTGTTGCCCGGGCTGGCCTCGAACTCCTGGGCTCAAGCAACCTTCCTGCCAAAGTGTTGGGATTCCAGGCGTGAGCCCCCGCCGTGGCTTGACAGCTTTCTTTTACTATTCCTTGGTGACTTTTTAAAAGCCCTCTTGGTGGAGATGTGCACACTGGAAAAAAAAAAATTGAAACATGGTCATCCAACCGCATTCTTAAGTAAAACAAGGTGGGGGGAATTCTATGAAAACCGGAAACACTCCAGACATTTCTGTGGTCCACCTTGCCCCTCTGCTGAGTCCATCAAAACAGAAATATCCCTGGCAAGGTGACCTGGCAAATCACAGCCCTAGCTCAATACAACAGGGTGTACCCCTGCTGGCAACAGTATTTCTCTAAGCTGACCTGTCTGCCAAGAAAAGTCTTAAAGCTCATGAACACGCTATTCTAAAAGGCAAAAATAATTGCAGAAACACTTGGAAACCTCATGGGTACAACTAGGGGCTTGTGCAAAAGGAGGCCTTACCTGTTTTCTTCAGGCCAGAGGGGTCATCTGCTGAGCCCTAACAAGGTTTAAGAGAGACACTCTGTTGGTGTGAAAACCCAGTCCTCACATTTATGAACCACAAAAGTCTCTTACTACATTTTTGAAAAGCAAGTCTATAGGAGGCAAAATCATCTTTTTTAAAAAAAGAAGTAGCGGCTGGGTGTGGTGGCCCACGCCTGTAATCTTAGCACTTTGGGAGGCCGAGGCGGGAAATTGCTTGAGCCCACGACTTCAAGACCAGTCAGGGCAACATAATGAGACCTCATCTCTACAAAAAGTGAAAAACTTAGCTGGGCGTGGTGGTGCACACCTATAGTCCCAGCTGATTGGGAAGCTGAGGTGGAAGGATCACCTGAGCCCAGGAGATCGAGGCTGCAGTGAGCCATGATTGTGCCACTGAGACCTTGACTCCAAAAAAAAAAAAAAAAAAGAAAGAAAGAAGAAAAGAAAAAGAATAACAACTATAAATATAGAAGTAGGTATGAAAGCGATGTATTGAGCCGGGCTCGGTGGCTCAGCCTGTAATCCCACGCCTTTGGGAGGCTGAGGTGAGTGGATTGCCTGAGCCCATGGGTTCGAGACCCACCTGGGCAGCGAGAACTTATCTCTATAATAAATCAAAAAATTAGCCGGGCGTGGTAGCACGCGCCTGTAGTTCCAGCTATGTGGAAGGCTGAGGCGGAAGGATCGC